TGTCGCTTCTAGCGTAGATCGAGCGTCCCATCCATGGACCAAATAGAACGGCGTTTCGCCTCGAACACGGTCGTACGTCCTGTTGAGGGCGAACGTCAGGCGCTCCGCGTACTCGTCCCAGTCTTTCTGATTTATATCTGCGACATACATCTTCAAAGCTCTGGTTAGAGTCTGCACCATCCGTTCGACCGTACCATTGGCTTGTTGGCGGTACACCATAGTGGCACGCTGTATCTGTCCCACTATGCGGTTGAAGGCGCGGAAAAAATCAGACATGAATCATGGCTCACGATCGTGCCGGATGGCTTCGCTTGCTCCAAATCTGGGAATACACATTCCTCGTAGCTCTCCGCGATCGTTTGCGCGGTTCGTGACGCGCTGGCCTTGGCCATCACATAACCTGAGAAGAGGTCGACCCAGAAGAGCAGCTCGGTGTTCCTTTTCTACGACATCGGCAGAGACGGGATGTGGTCCATCGCGATACACTGGAAGGGGTACGTCGCTTGTATGTTACCCGTCGACTCTCCTCGTAGAGTTGGGCGTCCCTTCCCGGTTTCACAATCCGTGCAATGTCCCACGTATCGTCGTACACTCTTAAACAGACCGCGCCAGTGAAAGTGCGTCCTGATCCGCTGGTAAGTTCTTCCGACCCTCCCTCCAGACTTGTATGATAGTGGTGGAGTACATCTTGCTGCAAATCTTCCGGTTCCACTAGCTTCGCCAGTCGATCGCGGTCGCCGTCGTCTCTTCCCGCGTGCGTGCTGTAAAAAAGCAGCCCACTTTCGTCCACGTCGTAGTCGCCCGCGATCTTGCCAACCGCCCGCGCCTCACCGCCATCCAACTCTCCAAAGTCGCCTGACAGATACGCATTGAGGTTTACGACCCATTTCTCTTCGTCTTGTGCTCGCTGGATCCGGTCCGTCCTGATGCGTTGTACCACATCCAGCGGCAGCACTTCTGGCGAGTTCTTCAAACGTGTTCACGATCGGGTCGTCGCGGCCACCCGGCGACAGGATCGTCGTCCTTCGGGAGTAGGAGCTCCTGAAGCCGGGTAAGGACAACCAAATCGTCGCGGTCCACTTCCGAGGTAACCGCTATGCCCTCTTGTTGGTGCAACGCGGTGTTGGCTAACCGATCCGCGCTCTGATTCCAGTCTCGTTTGACATGCAGGAACTCGTGGGCTGGCCACATTCTCAGCCGATCTAGTGCCCGTCGACGCACTCGAACTCGCCTCGCATCTGCCGGATCACCAAGTTGGAGTCTCCGCAGATGATCAGGTGTCCCCGATCCAAGCCGGAGAGTAGATCGAACCCTAACAACAGGCCCTGGTACTCCGCCTCGTTCACAGTTAGGTCGGGCAGGTACTTCGATTCGGCTGCGACGACAATCCATTCAGGTAACTTCCACACGATTGCGCTACACGCTCCACCGCCTCGTTTGACTCGTGGTGATCCATCGAATTCACGACTAACAGTTCTTCAACCTGTTTGACCGTAGGTAGCACCACAGG